GCTGAAGAGTATATAATCCAAGCATTCCACCCATGATCTCCAACAGATAACTCATCCCACGAATAGAACTGTATAATTAATAGGAGTTTTTTATTTTCTTTACATTTGCCTTTAGTGCTCTTAATATTGCAGTCCTTAAATGTTTAATAGTATATTGATGACCCATTCATGAGTAGGTAAAAAAAAAAAAAAAGAGAGAGAGAGATTAATTAAAAATCACCGATTTGTGTCTTCCATACTACTTCACAGTTTCTTTCCAGTTCATTAGATTAATTGTCTCTCAAGTCTTTGTTTTTTGGTGGAAAAATAAACGCATCTATAAAAATAGATATCTTTCACCACACATAACTATTCTACCACCACAATTATTAATCCTCACACCTTCTTCTCTGACTAAATTATTCCTCTTCCTGCTTGCTTTTCAACTATTCCTACCCTGATTGTCCACTGATCTCACAGGATGCCTTCTTTCCACTCTGCAGTTGGAATTTTTAGAAACAAAAATCTGACTAGTTCACCTTCCTGTTTATGACAAGCCAATGTTTTCCTCCATTGCTCTTAATATAAAACACATTTCCCAACATGATCCACAAAGAAATTGCCTTATCCCATATTTCCAGCTCATTTTGCCCCATAGTCTATCTCTCCATCTCTGCTATAACCACACTGGCTTTCTTCCAGCCCCTTGTTCTTGCCATGCTCCCTCCAGCCCTTGGTTCTACACACATGAGGCTCTTTCTGCCTGGAATGTTCTTACTTTCCTTCTCCATTTAGTAAAACCTATTCTTTCTTTTGATCTTACCTCGGTTGTCACTTTCTCAGAGATTCCTTTGCTCATTGCCCTAACTAGGACAGATCCCATGTGATAAACACTCTTGGTTCCAAGCTCCTCTTTTTTTTTTGTTTTTTGTTTTTTAAATTTATAGCTGTATTGTTTTGTTTCTGTTTTGTTTTGTTTAGAGAGGGGGAGGGGCCGAAGGAGAGGAAGACAGGGAGGGAGAGAAGCAGACCCCCGCTGAGCATGGAACTCTATGCAGGGCTCTACCCCACAAACCTGAGATCATGACCTGAACCAAAATCAAGAGTCAGATGTTTAACCAAATGAACCAGCCAGTCACCACGAGTTGCAATTTTATATCAAATTATAAGATTACTTCATTGATGTCTATTTTTCCTAGTAAAATATAAGCTCTGTTAAAGCAAGGGCTTTGCCTAAATTTACTCACCAATGAATCATCAGCACTGTATCTGGCATGCAGCAAAGGTGTTCTGTAAATATTTCTTGATTGATAACAGAATAAAGTTCTTTGAGCTTTCTCAAGATAAAGACGATTACAAAGTATTTAACCAAAATATCTCCTATAAGACACCCAATGTGATGTACCCATTCAAAAACATAACTAGAGAGGTTTCCCATAGAGTGAAATCATTTTTTAGTCTTGTCTTCTTTTCTTTGATTTTACTTGTGATCTGAACATAGAAGCTTTTTTTTTTTTTTAAAGATTTTATTTATTTATTTGACAGAGAGAGATTATAAGCAGGCAGAGAGGCAGGCAGAGGGAGAGGAGGAAACAGGCTCCCCGCTGAGCAGAGAGCCCAATTTGGGGCTCGATCCTGCTGAAGGCAGTGGCTTAACTCACTGAGCCACCCAGGCGCCCCCGAACATAGAAGCTTTGATGATGAATGTGAATGGAATCCCTTAATAAGCATCTGCTCTCAGATTATACATTGAGAAGTAATATAATTTCTTTATTTTAATATCATTTTCTTGTTGTTCATTAGTATTAATGCGGATTACTGCACTCTAATACCAGATAATTCGATATATCTATGCTTATTTTTGGTACATCTCTGTTTTTTTCTATTATTTTATTACTATGGATATTAGCAAATACTGCTTTTCCTATAATATAAGGAAATACTAACTTTAAAATACTTATAATTTCATTGAAATAAACATGAAAAATCAATTGTGGTGGCAAGGTCATTTAAATCTACAAATATTATGTTTGTAGGTAAGATGATTCTACAGTGTTGGATGAGTAATAGGAACATAAAATGATCTGAATCTTTAGAAAACTACTAATGTAAAATACTAATGACCAATGCAAGAGACCAACTCTACAAGAGAGGAACGTGATTTTACAAGTGATGTGCATCTGTCTCTTACCACAACGTGCATTAGTCTCTTACCACAGGCATCCCCATACATCAGGTCTTACCAATATAGCTGAACCAACTCAGGCTGTGGCCCTGCCAACACTGGAAAAGGGGGTTGAAGAAAGATAAAAAAGCATCCAAGAGCAGGTTTCACCATGAAATAATGAAGGCCTCAATGAAATATTAGAACTTTGGGGTAAAGGAAGCTTAAAGGATTATCGAGTTTAAACCCATTATTTCATACATGGGGAAACCAAAGTTAGGGTGAAAACAAGTCATTGGTCTAAAGCCACACACCCAGTTGATGGCAGAGCCAGGACCCAAACCAGATCTCTTAGGACACAGCTATCCCCACTGCATTATGTGGCTTGATCACATCAGTTCTCCACAATTCTCTAGGAAACATAATCTGAGCAATAAACCTTAGATCCAGACCACTTCAGTAACTGGAGAACCCACAAACATCTTTATAATAACAATACCATGGGACTGATCTTATTAGCCAGCAAAAACTAATATGAACAAATAACCAGTACCCTCTGTGCTCTCAGCATTCTCTAAATTTCTCAGATGCACATAAGGAACATTAACAGAACGCCTTCCTTCAAAATAACGTCTCTGTGTCTCTAAATCTCTTTCGTGAGTTAAAAACACCAATACAGGTTTTTAGGTGACAGTTTCCATCTGTAGACTTCTGGCAACATTCTATCAAAAGTGGACACGGACACAGAAATCCAGAGTATAATGCTACATCAGCGGTGTGCTCAGAAACCAGCTCTCCAAAAACACAAGATAAAATTTAAAATGCCCTTATTTCTAGAGCTTGCTGGCTCCTGTGATAGAAATACTCCCACCATGGCTGATTTCAAGCTGCTGGGTCTGGAACACACCGCACAGGGAATTCCTGAGTATTGAACAATTGATCCTAATGTACCAGTCAAAGGCAGCTCCGAGCACCACTGGTAGTACAAGGAGACCTAGAAATAATCAAGGTCAACACATTCTTTTAGAAGAGGAAACTGAGGCTCAAAGAGAGTAAATTAAATGATTTGCCTCAAATTCACACAGTGGCTGAGTGGGTTTTAAAACACAGGATTCTACCTCAACTACCTCCATAAACTAACTTCATAAGTGTTATGTGTTAGAAATAGTCAGTGGTCTCCATATTATTGAAGAGAGAAGTATTCCTTCTTGAAAACCAGCAGCAACGATACGACGGACCCTGTCAAAGAAATGCATATCCTTGGTCTCCACCCCAGGCCTGGTTACTCAGTATCTCTTGGGCCCAGAAATCTGTGCTTCAACAAGCTCTCTGAGTGGTATAGACCAAAGAGAAAATATCTTCCTTAAGCCCATCAATATTTTTTATAAATGAGATTCCAGTACAAGTCAGAGATCATAGCCACACTTTTTCCTATCAGCATCCATGAATAGATACTTCTTCAGAAGCTTTTAACATAAAGTCCACAAACTTTCACATTTTCAAAAGTCCTTACTTTTCAAAATAGTTTAGGTTTTTCTAACAACCACAGAAAAAAGTTGAGTTATTTATCTTCAGGTCCAACTCCAACCTTTCACAGACCAAAACCTAACATATAGTTATATGGCTTAGCCCTGGCACATTCCTTTTGTTTAAATAACTACTTTTAAGTAAATATTTATTTTTTCCAAGTTTTGCCTTACCTCCTTCACAAATCAAGGTAGGCAGTGGCAACAGCACCCCTCCCCTGCCCACCCTAATCCACATTGATTACTTTGTCAACTGATTACAGAGTTAGGTATTTGTGTTTCGGTTTTTCAGGCACTTCCTGATGTTTTGGTATTTGTTCCCAATCTTAAAATCCAGAACAAAGACAAATAAATACCGTCCACTTTGTTTTCCTCTTTCAGTATTTTAGAGGTTGGAAAATTTACAAAATAAATATCCTCTCAACCTTCTTATGAAAGCATTGCAAAAGAGAAGAAGAAAAATTGAGTAATAGTTTCCCCAAATTTAAAAATACCCAGCTAAGGCATATTCAAGTGACAAATAGCAACACTGATATTACTTTAAAAATAATCAGATAACAATCTAAAAATACAGGTCCATGAGTCTTAATTCTTTATCCATTATTAATTTCATTTGCAGGGCGAACCTAAATATGTTTATTCTGTTTGCACAGAAATAAAAGTGTTAATAACCTAAGTGTTGGTAGATAAGAGATTAACAAAAACATTTCTGAAGAGCGTTTAATCACTACCACATTCCCCAGCAAATCCAAAACAACTTGCCGAGTATGGTTCTTGGCCTTGATGCGAAAGAGCTTCACTGGAGGTGGAAGGAGATGTTTTCAAGGAAAGCGGTGTTTTAGTTTTATGATTCCCCAATTACCTGGTCCTGGCTGAATTTATATTTACCAAGAACTGGCCAGAAAAACTCTGCAACACGGGAGGTCATCATCCTGAAATCGACCACTTCAAAATTTTTGAGAGTCCCTTTGCTGACACTTCTCCAAAAAAGCAGCTACCTTTACGAGATTCACCACTGTTTCCGCCAGCCACGTCAGGTCTGAAGGCCCAACTAATGTTTGCTCACAGTCTTTTGGGTCCATACCTAACCTATCCGCCCTGCGGTCCCAGGTTTGCCTGCTCAGGAACCTCCCCTCCCCCAACAAAAAGTATGCAAATCTCGAGCTCCTTGAGCTTGACTTAGAACTCAAATTTAAGTCCCATTTAGCAGAGTCTTCCTCACTGAGGCACCAATACAGGGGTATATGGAGTGCAAACCCGAGTCCTGCGTGGCGGGAGCGCAGGAGACGGCGTGGGGTGGGACCCGGCGCGGGGAGCCGAGGGGCACTTACGGTTGGCACAGCTTGATTAGGTCCTGGTCAGTGGTGCCTGGTGGAAGGCCTCGAATGTACAGGTTCGTTTTACTCAACTGTTCCCCGCTGCTGTTGCTGCTGCTGTTGTTGCTGCTGCTGTTTGTGCTGGGGCTGGGAGGAGCCATGGGGTGGGGAGCTGGTGCATAGGACTGCTGGAAACAGAAAAGGCTGTTACTGGAAAAACAGAGCCAGCACGATTTCACAGGCCAGCAACACACCTCGAAAGCAAGACAAGTTTCTCGGCCTCTCTGACCCGTACATGCACACACATCTTTTATCCCCGCCCTATGTACTTCTGAGAACATCACTTACTCCCTTGCTCTCACCCTGGACCTGCATTTGCATCCGTGTGTTAGCCATAAATGGGACAAAAAGAAGCTCCCAGGTGCTCCTGCCAGTGGCATATGGCTTCTGAGCTAGTCTGCTGTGATTCTCCTTAGACCTGTAAAGTAGCGTGGTACCTCCCTCCCTGTTAGAAGAACATAGTTCCTTCACTCTTGGCACCAAAGCCCTGCTCCTAGTTCACTTCAACAGCCCACATCTTTGCTTTGTCTCTACTTCCTGTTCTCTCCTTCTCTCCAGTAAAACAAAACAAAACACAGACAGACACCCTTCCTCCTATGATTGTCTTCACCGTCATTCTCCAACAGAATTCCTGACACAGAGACAGAACTCGCTCTCTAGTGAATCTATCAATGAACGGATGGATGGATGAATCTATCTTACCTCTTTCTCCCACTCCCAAATCTGCTTCCTCATGGTGAACACCCTTTGTTTGCAATACTGAGCCACCAACCTCTCACGACAGTCAAGATTTCCTTTAAATCTCAATCTAGGCAGCCTTGCCAACTGGGAGGGCATATGTTTTGCTGTGGGACCCTTCGTGTTCATCACATTGTACAACCTCCGTTGTTCACTGCAGGATAGTAACAGCATGCTGGTCCTTTACCCACCAGATTCTAGTAGCACCCATTCTCCAGTTGTGACAACCAAAAAGGTCTCTGCACCCTGCCAGGTGTCCCTGACAGGGAGAGTGGGGAATCTCCCCCAGTAAAGAACTACCATTCTAACCTGTCAAACTAGTTTATAATAAAATACAAAGATAAAATGATCCCCAGCAACTTAGAATATACAGTGTAAGGGTTTTAGAACTCTACATGCCAGAATTAGTAGATACATTACTCTTCATGCATTATTTCTTTGTCCCATAGGCAAATCTTCAGAAGTTCTAAAATTGCACTATCTGGGTTTGCATCCTGCTGTGTCTCTTACCGACTGTGTGACCTTTGGATGGTGCCTTAGCCTCTCTGGGACTCAACATTCTCATTCATATGAGGAGGATAAAAATAGTACTCTCAATAGTATGTCACAAGGTGTCTATGAAAACTTAATGAGCTCCTGTAACAAAATGATTCCTGGAAATTAGTGATGCACAATAAAATGCTAGCAATAACAAAAATGCAAGAATAATAATAATGGCAATATTTGTAGTTCTTATTTGTCTTGCCAGTGATATTAGTCTATAACTATCCCAGATATTCTCCAATGTAACCTACAATGTTACCCAAAGGCACAATGAACACATTTGCCAAGATTCCAGTGGGGAAATGTTTAGCCAAGTTTTTTTTTTTTTTTTTTTTAAGATTTTATTTATTTATTTGACAGAGATCACAAGTAGGCAGAGAGGCAGGCAGAGAGAGAGAGGTGGAGGCAGGCTCCCTGCGGGGCAGAGAGCCCGATGCGGGGCTCGATCCCAGGACCCTGTATCATGATCTGAGCTGATGGCAGAGGCATAACCCACTGAGCCACCCAGGCGCCCCTGTTTAGCCAAGTTTTAACCTGAAGACACATTAGCTGTTTTATCAGGGGTTGGAAGGTGCATACTTATCAAACAGCAAGTAGGTGCTTAATAAATACTTGGGCTATATTGTACATAATAAATAAGTAAGTGGACACAACACTTAGCCCACAGTGACAAGAGGCCAAGTTTTAGCAGTAGCCAGCCTTGTTTCTTGCTATAATAGTCTGTTTTACACCTTCCAGAATTATCAGATTTGTCCCAGTCCGTATTTTCACCCAGCTATGACAAAGCCTCTTAGACACAGTTATGTCAAATGAAACTCATTATCCCTGCTTTCTCATCTCCCAATTCCCCACCCCAGCCACCCAGCACAACGACCCCATTTCTTTTGGTTTTACGGACATTCATCAATCCCCATACTAGAACCCTCGGTATTAGCTTCATCTGTTCCTTAATTTTAGATCTCAAAATAAAGTCAGCTACCAAAATCTCTGAGAGGTTGTTAGAAGCTTCCTTGTCTCTGAATTCCCACGCCTTCCTAGGCCAGGCTCTGGCCCACCTTGCAGACCCATCAGATCTATCCTCTGAACCCTTTTTTCCTCTTGCTCTCCTCTTAGGGAGGAAAAGTGAGGAAGAGCAGAAGACAGAATGCTCACGTGCAAACGCAAACTGGTCAAGAGTGTCCTGGGCAGTTTCTTTAAGGAATGGGGAGAGGGGACAGTAGACATGAGAGGAGCAAAACCTAGAGCCTCCTTCTTTAAAATAAACACTCCTCAACCATTTCTCAGGCATTACCTCTTTTGTTACCAACATTCTTAACGTGGAATTTTACAACAAATCAGAGAGGAGAATTTTCTGTCCCCACTGTTTGAATAAAATGAAATACATCTATTGCCTTTAGGAATTTAATATCTGCAAAAAACTGCATGAAGTTTCTTGGCTGGTGTGAAAAACTATTCCTCCTTGATCTAAGAATTCTGTTTCGGGGCGCCTGGGTGGCTCAGTCAATTAAGCATCCATCTCTTGATTCCTGCTCAGGTCATGATCTCAGGGTCCTGGGGTAGAGCCCGGGAGGGGGCTCTGTGCTCAGTACTGGTCTACTTATCCTTCCCCTCTGCTTCCCCCACCAGCCCCCCACCACCCGCACTCTCTCTCTCCCAAATAAATAAATAAATTCTTTAAAAAACTTCCATTTCACTCCTTGGACGCCCCATGACACTTAAGCTCTAGCTCTTAATAAGCCCTGCACTTAGTAGGTCTTCAACAAATTCTTGCTACAGCAGCTTCTTGTCTTGCAACTCCCAATGGGACAGATGGGATTTATCTTTTATTTCCATTATGTGCTTTATTCTCTTAAATTTCCCAGGGCTTTTTAAAAGCTGTTTGTTACCACTTTCACCTCCCCTCTCCCTAAATTCTTTGAATTCCATTCTGTACTCAGGGTTCTTTTAAAATAAGGCTTTGTTTAAAGCAGCTTTTCCCACTGCACAGCTTTTAAAACTACTAGGGAGCCAAAAAAAAAAAAAAAAAGTCTTCAGCTCTATGTATCATAGATCTGATGGACCAGCACAGACTTTGAGTCCCTGACTGATCAAATAAGAAAGCATCCTTTACAGGCTGTTCAATGTGTGTTTACTTACTTCTCCCCTCCCCGCCCTCCCATCGTCTTTGTAAGCATTTCCATAGCCAGAAATACCATTCAGTAAATTGCATAAATGCCTAAAACAATAAATATGCCCTCCAAAGTGCCCCACGTATTCACCAGGATAAAATAAATAAATTAACAAAACAGTCAAAAGCAAATCAAAGTTGTGATGACCATAGGGAACTTGTATGCATGGGAGTGAGGTATGTGATTTATAAATAGAGATAGTACCACCAGGCTGTTGCAGAGAAATGATGTATTCCAAAAGCCCTTTGAAAAAAATACACAATCAAACGTGATTTTCTCTGTCATATCCCTGTTTGTGAGTTCTAGAAGTTCTGCAGAAAGAGGTAGACTTTTCTAGCATTACTGAGCCAATCAACCCACAGATTTTAACACCCAGTGCCCATCTCTCCCTAATCCTTAATATTTCATTTATCCTTTGATGATATACTGAGTGATTCAGGTAGCAGTCTGCATTGTAAATCATTCTTTGGTGTTAAGAATTATAAATTCCCTCCTCTTCACCCACTTTCCAAATACACATCCTTTAATCAACAAAACATTGGCAGAAGGTTCCCGGAATGTCTGACAAATGCAAAGGCCTAAATGAATTAATTTGTGAAAAGCAAAAAGCAATGTTGTATGCTCTGGTGCCAAAGACGAATGACCAAACTACAGCATCTCAAAAAAAAAGGCAATAATCTTTAGAGGTTAATGGGTCACAGCAACCACTTTCCTAATTAAAAGTGGCTCTGATACCTTTCTCAATTCTTTTGTCTTCAGATGGAGTTGGGATTTTATCATTGATTAGCTTTTAAATCATTTTGAGGCACTAAAGAAGAAATTCGAAAATGTTAGTAACCAAAAGAATTTATTTTCCCTCAGATAAAACCGACTTTGCTATATTGCTCAAAGTCACACTTTATAAATCCTATTTAGGAGCAGTGAGGACTTACAGTGGGGGTTACCCAGCACCGTAATGCTGCGTTGTAGCAGGACCCGGAGCTGTTACGAATTTGCAGTGTCAGCTTGAATACAACCAGTCCAAACGGCACATTTTCAGAAGAGGGCCTTCAGATGGCACTCGATGGAAGGAGGGAGATCGGATTTCTCTCTCGAACCTGCACATGCTTGGCAAGGACACAGATTTCCCTCAGATGTTTATTCACAGCAGCATGGCTGGGAGGGTCTGTCAGGTGTCAGGGGCTGGGGCTGAAAGCCCTCTGAACCACACGTTGGAGCCGCCACATCAGTGGATCAGGGCCAGTGTCCTCTTTGGGAAATTAAATAAAATGCCTTGACATCCATTTTGGAAGATAACGATTCTAATAATTACAGGTAGCATTTGCAGTGTGCTTCCTAAGCATTTTATGTAACAGCCCAATGAGGCAAATAAAACGCTTCTCATTCACAAATGGGAAAATGCAAGTACAAAATGGGGAGATGATCTTCTCAAGGTCACGCAGCTGGAGCCCCAATTTGAACTTAGTAAGTTTGACTCCAGAAGCCACACAGTCCCCACCTCCACACTCTAGAACTTCACGTATTAATGACATGGGCACCAATAAACCCAGTGGCTTTCTGATCGTGAACTTGGGAGGATGACACTGACAGAGGCTCTGGTACATCCAAGTACAAAGTGGAGACAAAGAAGGAGGAGGATAAACAGCACACAGTCAAAATGGAAGTGAATAAGCCTTTTC